TCCCCTCCCTACTCTGATCCCTGGGAGTAGCGACATTGGGAATGACAGAGGAGTGACCACACTGAGAGCAAAACCCACCTGGAGGTCACCTGACGTACAGAGACCCAACCGATGAATAGAGACGGCCTGTGCGGTCCCTCTGTATCAGGTGCATGCTGGGCATTGTAGTGCACCAGTACACGCTGGGGGTTATAGTGCACCAGTCCATGCTGGGGGTTATAGTGCACCAGTCCATGCTGGGGGTTATAGTGCACCAGTACTTGCTGGGGGTTATAGTGCACCAGTACTTGCTGGGGGTTATAGTGCACCAGTACTTGCTGGGGGTTGTAGTGCACAAGTCCATGCTGGGGGTTGTAGTGCACCAGTACATGCTGGGGGTTGTAGTGCACCAGTACATGCTGGGGGTTATAGTGCACCAGTACTTGCTGGGGGTTATAGTTAGGGGTACATAGTATACGGTGAGGTAGTATAGGGGGTAATATTTCTCGGGGTACATGTCAGTATACAGAGGGGTATTATCGGGGTACATGTTAGTATTTATAGGGGAACATGTCAGTATTTCTGGGGGTACATGTCAGTATCGGGGTACATGTCAGTATCGGGGGACATGTCAGTATTTCTGGTGGTACATGTCAGTATCGGGGTACATGTCAGTATCGGGGGACATGTCAGTATTTCTGGGGGTACATGTCAGTATCGGGGTACATGTCCCGGATCTCGGTCTCGCTGCGTGCGGTCACAGAAGAGGAAATGTGAAGGGGAAGTTGGGGCGCTGGGAGTCTGGAGGAGATTGCGATACATCCTCCTCGTGCTTCTGTTTCCAGCTGCGACTTGCAGGAGACGTATCGGGAAGACAGGACCGGGCCTGTGCAGTGCTGGAGGGGGGCCGTGTGTGTGCTCAGGGTGTGGAGACATTGGGGGAGGGGTTATGGTTGGGTGAAAGTTGGGTGAATAGTCTCTGGTGTGTGATTATAGGGCCCGTGTGTCCCTTGTAGAGCCTCGTACTGACCCATTGGGCCACACATGTCAGAATCATGGACTGCGGTCATGTGACTGGACGGTCATTTCCTTTGGGGCCAAACACCATTCAGCAGGTCAATGTGATCAGTACACTGGAGAGGGACAGATGAGGTTCCAGGGGCCACACATAGAGGAGAGGGGTGGAATGTCCTGGGAGGGGTACAGAGGGGTGGAAGGCCCTGGGAGGGGTACACAGGGGAGAGGGGTGGAAGGTCCTGGGAGGGGGTACAGAGGGGAGAGGGGTGGAAGGCCCTGGGAGGGGTACACAGGGGAGAGGGGTGGAAGGTCCTGGGAGGGGGTACAGAGGGGAGAGGGGTGGAAGGCCCTGGGAGGGGTACACAGGGGAGAGGGGTGGAAGGTCCTGGGAGGGGGTACAGAGGGGAGAGGGGTGGAAGGCCCTGGGAGGGGTACACAGGGGAGAGGGGTGGAAGGTCCTGGGAGGGGGTACAGAGGGGAGAGGGGTGGAAGGCCCTGGGAGGGGTACACAGGGGAGAGGGGTGGAAGGTCCTGGGAGGGGGTACAGAGGGGAGAGGGGTGGAAGGCCCTGGGAGGGGTACACAGGGGAGAGGGGTGGAAGGTCCTGGGAGGGGGTACAGAGGGGAGAGGGGTGGAAGGCCCTGGGAGGGGTACACAGGGGAGAGGGGTGGAAGGTCCTGGGAGGGGGTACAGAGGGGAGAGGGGTGGAAGGCCCTGGGAGGGGTACACAGGGGAGAGGGGTGGAAGGTCCTGGGAGGGGGTACAGAGGGGAGAGGGGTGGAAGGCCCTGGGAGGGGTACACAGGGGAGAGGGGTGGAAGGTCCTGGGAGGGGGTACAGAGGGGAGAGGGGTGGAAGGCCCTGGGAGGGGTACACAGGGGAGAGGGGTGGAAGGTCCTGGGAGGGGGTACAGAGGGGAGAGGGGTGGAAGGCCCTGGGAGGGGTACACAGGGGAGAGGGGTGGAAGGTCCTGGGAGGGGGTACAGAGGGGAGAGGGGTGGAAGGCCCTGGGAGGGGTACACAGGGGAGAGGGGTGGAAGGTCCTGGGAGGGGGTACAGAGGGGAGAGGGGTGGAAGGCCCTGGGAGGGGTACACAGGGGAGAGGGGTGGAAGGTCCTGGGAGGGGGTACAGAGGGGAGAGGGGTGGAAGGCCCTGGGAGGGGTACACAGGGGAGAGGGGTGGAAGGTCCTGGGAGGGGGTACAGAGGGGAGAGGGGTGGAAGGCCCTGGGAGGGGTACACAGGGGAGAGGGGTGGAAGGTCCTGGGAGGGGGTACAGAGGGGAGAGGGGTGGAAGGCCCTGGGAGGGGTACACAGGGGAGAGGGGTGGAAGGTCCTGGGAGGGGGTACAGAGGGGAGAGGGGTGGAAGGCCCTGGGAGGGGTACACAGGGGAGAGGGGTGGAAGGTCCTGGGAGGGGGTACAGAGGGGAGAGGGGTGGAAGGCCCTGGGAGGGGTACACAGGGGAGAGGGGTGGAAGGTCCTGGGAGGGGGTACAGAGGGGAGAGGGGTGGAAGGCCCTGGGAGGGGTACACAGGGGAGAGGGGTGGAAGGTCCTGGGAGGGGGTACAGAGGGGAGAGGGGTGGAAGGCCCTGGGAGGGGTACACAGGGGTGGAAGGTCCTTAGGGTTAGGGTTAGGTGAGTTGGTGACAGGGTCTCTTGAGGAAGCTCCAGGCTGTTTCTGGCTTTGGAACAAGCATGCGGCTAGTGAAGTCAGAGGAGAGGAAGAGAAGGTGTCGCCGGGTGTCGCATCATCTGCGGCAGGAAGTGGCGGGGGGGAGATATGGTGACACGTTGGCACTGCGCCGCCCTCCGGTCCTGTGATCACAATATCAGTCCAAGATAATCAGACACGTGTCCTCGTCACATAACCGACTCTGTGCTGACCACACGTATGTGGCTGAAAACACGTTACACGCGCCATGGCCGCCCTGAACTATACACATTGATCTTCACACTGTCAGTCCTGAGGAGAGGGACTCCACTACATACACACACCCACCATTGCCAAGAGTCCATTACTGCCTGCACCACGGGGACCGCGCTGGTAGTACATACAGTGTGAGGGGGCAGGGCCATAAACATTGCGTTACATTGTGTTACGTTGTGTTGTGTTACATTGTGTTACGTTGTGTTACATTGTGTTACGTTGTGTTGTGTTGCATTGTGTTACGTTGTGTTACATTGTGTTACGTTGTGTTGTGTTACATTGTGTTGTGTTGTGTTACATTGTGTTACATTGTGTTACATTGTGTTACATTGTGTTACATTGTTACGTTGTGTTACATTGTGGTACGTTGTGTTACGTTGTGTTGTGTTACGTTGTGTTGTGTTGTGTTACGTTGTGTTACGTTGTGTTACATTGTGTTACATTGTGTTACGTTGTGTTGTGTTACATTGTGTTACATTGTGTTACGTTGTGTTACATTGTGTTACATTGTGTTACATTGGGTTACGTTGTGTTACATTGTGTTACATTGTGTTACGTTGTGTTGTGTTACATTGTGTTACGTTGTGTTGTGTTACATTGTGTTACATTGTGTTATGTTGTGTTACATTGTGTTACATTGTTACATTGTGTTACATTGTGTTACGTTGTGTTACATTGTGTTGCTCTCTTCACAGTCACATATCTGATTCTGTTTCAGAAATTCACAACAATGAGGCAACGAATGTTCCGGATCCAGACCTGAAGGGGACGCAGAAGTGGTCGTCGTCTCTGGACAGCCTGCTGGAAGATCCCGGCGGTGTGGAAGCATTTAAGGTGCGTGATGGTGAAGAGGACCTGTACTGTGACAACAGGCGAAGATGACAGAGGACCCGGTCCCCAGTGTTGTCTGTTCATCTTCTCCCCGTCACCCTGTTACTATACATTGTTCTGCTCTGTGTCTCTGTGTGGAGGCGGCCATCTTGGTAGAGGCGGCCATCTTGGTAGAGGCGGCCATCTTGGTAGAGGCAGGGCTATGAGTCCTTGTGTCAGATTTGCCCTTTTCCCACCTTCACCCCCGATGACCGGAGGGGTAATGATAGAGGAGGAGGAAGAATGGATGAAGCGGGAGCAGGGAGATCCTTACACTGCAGGACCCCAGGTACGGCTTCCCCTCCAGCCAGGACAGCAGAGATCGGCACAGCAGTGACATCACCAAATCTCACTACACATCTGATGGGACTAGAGGTCGGAGGAAGCAGTGCCTGAGATCTCACACTGCAGATACACAGCTGTGAGAATACAGGACAGGAAATGCCCAGGCACAGGAAGTGCAATGACATCAGGAGTGCCCAGACACAGGAAGTGCAATGATATCAGGAGTGTCTAGGCACAGGAAGTGCAATGATATCAGGAGTGTCTAGGCACAGGAAGTGCAATGATATCAGGAGTGTCTAGGCACAGGAAGTGCA